AACTCTGAAGCAGCATTATCCTAAAAAATAATAGTTCTTTCAAATGGAAAGTTTCCAAGCAATTCACARACACAGATATTTTTATGAGGGTGGAAAAGTAAATAGTAAAAATGCTAAGTTTCAATGGCCTGAAATGATATTCATATGTAGTCAGAAGAAAAGCTTTTAAATGAAAGGGTCTGTTTTCCCGACAGCTCAGTAACATTTATTGCAAATCAGATCTTGTGCACGAGCTGGGTAACTTTCCATTCAAATTTCTGAATGAGAAAGGAATTAAAAGTTTTCTGTACTCAGTGAAGGCCAGATTACAGGATTCCTAGAAAGCTGTGTGAAATTAACAGAATTTGGTGTAACAAATAACATCACTGAAACCTCTCTGAATAACCATTTAGCACTTTTCACCATGTTCCTTTTAGTTGTTAGCAGTGCACAAGCTCAAGAACTTTTTTCAGACTTGAGTCTTAGTTTGATCCATATTTTGGTGGCTTCAAGTAAAAATACTCATTTTGAGAAACAAAAAATACATGCCAATTAAAGTTTCAATATAATTTTTATACATTATATGTTAATACTGTTCACCTGAATAAGCAGAAGCACACCATCATGAACAMATTTTCGACTCTTTCCCCACACTGTACTTTTTTATCAGTATTTTTTATGAGACTTCAAAATATTTTCTATTTGCAATATAACAGGACAACTCATTTTAGAGAATTACAAGATTTGTTTCTTGTGTTTCACTCACACTGGTGAATTTATTATTAAAGGACAAGGATTTACAGCACTTAGCATAACTCATATATATCACAATGGTTTGGATGTTTTATTTTTCATTAGAAACTGAACAGCTATATCAACAAAGTCATTTTTGCTCAGATTATTAACAGAGCATAAATACTAACAATTGTAAATCTCTGGAGTGACACAAAGGATCAAGAGCAACAACCAACAGGAAAAAATCAAAGACAGTCACATTGCTAATAAACCAGCAGACAAACTTTAAATATAATGAAAACATTATTTCAGAGAAAGCAACAGAAATTATTGTGGAGAAGTTGAATCGCTCCCCAAAGTTTCAGTACACAAACTAAAACTGAAACAGTCTAATGCAATTTTGATCATTTGCAGGAAACAAGTTCCTTATCTAGTGTGTATATACACATATGTTTCAGCGTTTTTYCTAAATCCTGTGTATCCTTGTTATCTGATCTGATGACACTTTTTACACCACTGGAATGTTTTCRAAGCAGCTTTTATGTTTTAACACTGAACGTCACGTAAAAGTGATTTAATTTTCTAATGAAGAGATGTTTCCCCACGAATTCCACAGCAGATACAGACTGCATGCTGCAATTCCACTAGTCTGACTAGAAGATAATTTTCTCCTGCCTAACACAGCACTGGTATGGATAACAGAATATTTCTTCAAACAGTCCATTATTAAAACATTATAATTGTAATAATCATCATCATCGTCACAAAGTCAACAGCTCTATCATACTCTTCTTACCAACTCTGTCACACCTTCTCTAAATTTSAGACATAAACAGCATTCTGAATTGATACACAAACTGATTGCTAGATGTGCTGACCAGATAAATGACAACATGAAGAAACAGTATAATATCAAATGAGGAGTAAAAAATGTATAGGAAGGATAGCAAAAGCAGAAATGCAAGAGGTGAATGTGTTTAAATATTGTGCACATTTACCCACACTGCAAGAAGAGTAGCTACAGAGAACTATAAGCAGAAAAGAGGGTGAGCAAAAGGCAACTTTTTAAAATTTTTCAACTTGTTTTTCCCTTTTTTTTTCAAACTGATAGAGTGAGTGAAAGTAGAAAGGAGTCAATAGTATCAAAGGTGATCAAATGCATCAAAGGAGGACATGGACAGACAAGACATGTGAAAAGGAAGCATGAAAGAAAACATTGGCATAAAAGATGTTAAGAAAATGCAAGAAGTTTCAGAGATAGAACAGCAAAAAGGTTAGAAACTTAAAAAAAAAGCTTAAAATAAAATAAAAATAAAAATAAAAAAAAGAAGAGCAAAAGTGTAAGAACCCACAGCTATTTGGCTAGAAGTCTCTCACCCATCGATTCTGTTACACTGCTGTTATCCACCATGTGGATCCACACTGGAAAGCAGCACCACACCTTTCCACACAAACTTCCCCACTGGCTCCCTTGAGCATAGTTAACATTCAGTCACATAGCTCTTATCCAGCACGTGGTATCCTCAAATGTTTTTTCAATACGGAGAGGTGTATGTAAAGTCAGCTCCTACAAATGCAACATTTTAGAAGGCAACTTTTTCCAAGAAGCAATTACCCAGCAGTTGCCAGCAACCTTTCCTTCACAATTCTGCTTCACTTACTTCACACAGTTATCTTTCTGTCCTAGATTTTATACATGGATGCAGAAGTTGCTTTGATTTGGTGGTATCTCACTATATCAAAGTCATCCATCTTGTATGAGAAACTGGACTTCCTATCACAAAGAAGAAAAATGATAGAGAAAAAATGAACAGCACAGGCATGTGAAAGCTTAGAGGAAAATCGGACAGCACAAGCACATGAAAGCTTAGATGCTAAATTTAAAAAGTTTGTGCTCATTTTGAAAGGTTAGAAGTTACATTTAATAAGGTGGTGCTAGTTTTGAAAGTATAAGCAAGATCAAAGCAAAATACATCAATATCCTTTTTTAATCACAGTTGTAATATGAGCTGGTACCAACCCTCTGACTTCTCTTTATTGCTTGCCTTCTCACCACCCTCTTCTCAATCCACGCCAYTACGTCTACTGTCTATTTCTACTATTCTACTATTGTCTACTATCTTCATGGTTGCCTTACTTTTCCAYTACATGCTTTTACTTGTTCTTTTGTTTATGTCTGAATATACTTTAACTTCTCTACAATGCCATTTCTTCTATAAAATAATATGGATACAATTAAAAATCAAGAGTTCTCATGGAACTGAGATTAGCACCACCCACACAGAGTAGGAATTGCACTGGTAAATCAGTGCAGGAAACCTAGCTGCAACCAACTCTGAAGCCAAATAATAAAGCTCTGCTAGAAACCAGGTAGGTCCCTCACTGGTTTTCTATTCTCTTACCTGTAACTGCATTGGAAAAGTCACCATTGCAATGGCCATACTTCTAGGTAACATAAAGAATTCCAACCTAGTGAATAGTCAATAGTTTACTATCAAATATAAGATTATTTTATGCCTCTTGCTTCCCAAGTGGTTAAGTACTATGCAGTGAATCCGCACTTGATCTCCATTAATTATTAATACTTACAGACATTAGAAGATAGTAGTTATGTTTGCCTTCAATTTTAATTGATATGTCTGCCCACAGACCTTGCTCTAGAATTACTATTTGAAAAAACAATGAGTATATCTTATGTTTACATGTCAAGTTTTGCATTTTTAACACAGCAAGGTACATGCTTAAGTTCTTTCTCACCAGCTGTGAAGCACTTGGAGAACAATGTCCTCAATAGAAAAGGAATTTTATCAATACAAAGAGCTTTTGCACTAAGGAAGCTTTCTCCAATAAAAAGAGATTATTAATGGTGTAACAGCATAAAGCACTTTTAAACCTACTGTTCAGGCATAACAGGAGACCTATTTTGCACCTTTAAAATTGCTTCAAAATGTATGTAGACTGGTTTGTACTAGAATTATTTGTACCACCAACGCATCTCACTCTCRAATTCTCAAGGCGATTCAATTTTTAGCTTAAAAAAAATCTTCATCTTAACATRAAATGATTGTAAATACAAACGTTACACATAACCCACAAATACACACTCACATACAGAAATATAAAAAGAAATGGAATTATCTGGTGAAACAGTTTATGCTATCTCTRTTTAGATCACATCATTCTAAAGTACAACACCACAGAACATCTTTCCCAGATGATGTATTCCAGTTACAAAATAAAAGTAGTGAATTAAAGGATGCTATTTGATGGTTTTTAGCTAATCATGGAGCTGGTAAATCATCCACCCACAACAATGCACTTTGTGGGCATTTGTCATATACTTGCAATGCCCATACTAAGGCAACAGATCCCAGAAGTTGGCAGCCATGCTATCAGGAAGAATTTGGCTACAGAAACAGCAATGATTCATCTTGCATTTTAGAAGCACTGTCAAAGCAGCAAAACAACACACTACTATTTTAATCCTTTAAAGGCAACAAGAGCTTTAAAATACTATCAGAACTTTGTTTTCAAAACCACAACAAGCAAAAAAAACCCTCACAGTTCTTTTAATAATGCATTTGGAAGTGCATCTTTATTCATCTTTTTTTCCCTCGAGGGGCAGAAAATAGGTATTTAGTATCAGTTAACTACTTACCTCTCCATACTGCAATTTAAATAGTCAATTCAACCTTATAAAACAGGTCTTTCACAATAASTTAAGCAAAATTCACTGTTTTAAAATTGTTTAAATTTGGCTGTACTCAGGTTTCAATATCCTCTGTAGTCATTGTTAAAATAGAAATCACATTTTCATTAACTGAAATGTATACTACAAACACATGATTTTCAAACTCACCCTCTGATTGAACAGTAAGCAACATAGTCTGAATATTTGTTTCAACATGCACATCACATATATCATTGCCCCAATATCTATCAAGAAAACTGTCTCTCACCTACCAATATCTGAAAATAGTGATCCAAGTCCTGTCAAAAGCTCTCAAGGGCTATATTTCTCTGATGAAAGCACCACTCTCTTTCTTCCTGAGAATGCCCCAGTTAAATAAGAGTATATGAAAATTCTGTCCCCCGAATACRGACATCTAAAAAGGTTATTAATTTCTTGCCATTGTAACAACATAGTGACTCTGAAACTTCATCTATAACACCCTTTACTACCGTCTTGCTGAATATGCTAAGTAACATCACTACCAAGCTTAAGAAGGCATAATCAGAAAGCTGCCTTTTGTCCCATTACACAAACTGATATCATGATTGCTTACCTTCTGGAAAACTACTTCATCCTGCTTCATTTTCTTTTTGCTGCTTTTTCTGATCCTCTTGTTTGTCTGAATCCATTTTGTGACCTGGAGTTCAAAACCATGGTGCATTTTTTTTAGGTAGAAGATGCAACCTGATTGTAGTTACTCAGCATTAGTAAAAAGTTATAGATATCCAAGACAACTTTTTTCATTGCTTGACTGGAAAGGAAAAAGCATTTTCCCCACTAAAGTGACGTGGTCTTAGGTAATTTGGTTACTACTTGTACATGATCAAAGTGTGAGGTGATGCTCTCCATCTTAGAGCTTTTGGTTCAAGGTGCTCTGCATAAAGAGCGCGTCTGATGTCAGACCAGGCTGACAAATGGAAAGTTGTCATCGCAGTATGCAAAAATCCTGGAGAAAATATCTGTGCTTTATCCGTTACACCTTCTATTTCAAGTAAGAGATTTCCAGCTACCCACTCAAACACTGTTCCAGACTACCAACTCCAAATTTGGATGGTGTGGTTGTTATTATTTAATAAAGTAATAATACTTGGTGGGRCTTTTTCCTCCCCATACTAATATTTTTATTCACAATACGAAAGCAATTATTTTTTAAAGCAAAAGCGTGGCAGGGTAGGAATTATTCGTCAGATAGAAAACTCCAGGAGCAGATTTGAAAGGGCAAGAAGCAGGGTGCAATGTAACAGCTGCGAAAGGTTTCCTGCTCACCTCGCCGCTCACTTGGTGGACGAGCTGACACTCCTTCCACGTCTCTSCCTCCTCCAGCAGGGGCTACACGGGGGAGAAGGCGCACAGTGAGGAGGGATCTCCAGCAGAGGATCCGCGATGSGCTCCACTCGCCGGGGCGCTGGGACGGCCGGCTCGGGGGAAGCGCGGTCCGACCGCCGCCAGCCCCCAGCGCCGCTCCCGTTCCTTTCCGCCTCGAACCGATCCGTCCCACGCCATCCCGCCGTGCCCGGGCTCGGCAGCGGCACACCGCAGCCCTCGGTAGGAAATGAAACACCTCCGCAGGGTCCCCCGCCCCCGTGCTCCGGCCCCCGGAGCCCCGCGGAGAGGAGGAGCCTGCCTTAAAGACGTCAGGGCCGAGCAGCGTCGGGGCAGCCCGGCCGGGGCACCGTGCCTGTGATAGCCCCAGTGGGGCAGCCGTGGGCCCGGCTCGGACCGCCCCGCCCCGCCCCGCCAGCAGGTGAGCAGCCCGGCCCGGTCCGGCCACCGGCGCTGCTGCCGCTGCTGCCGCCAGCCCGCGCTCCCCCGACAGCGTCGCCGACGGGACGATCCTCCCTAATCTCCGCATGAACGCTTGTCACGGATTTGCAGCCTAATTATTAGAGACGCTCTCCCTTCGAGACCCTTACTGTGAAACCCGCCTTCCTATGAGCCTTYCTATAAACATGCTCTGTCACAGATCTTTACGGGCAGAGGAGTAGTCTGGTGGGCATAGTTCAAAAAGTTATCATCACCAATTAATTGATTCAAGATTGGCCTTGGTACTTGCTCGCACGTCCAGAATCCAACTTCTAAACTACCTTGGAGGGTCTGAAATGCATCTCAAAAACAAGATCCAAAGCAGCTTTTTAGGTATACTGAATCACAGCAAGACGTTTATCGAGGCCTCAGCTAAAGCCTTCATTTGTTCGACAAGATGCTGCCAGCAGGTGATTAAATTTAGGCGTGGGACTTTATCAGGTGTTTTTGCACCCTCAGAAAGTAAATTCAAACTCCAGCATGTTAGGTGATATCCACATTATGTCAGCCATACAAAATCTGAATGCTACGAATTCCTAAGTTACAATTTTATCAAGTGCTTTTGTGTTTATATTTCAAAAACAACGGCAGTAAAGGATAGACTGTACCATACTTGTTAYAGTTAAAATTATGTTAGAAAGGTATTGTCTGTATTTTAAAAATTATTCATAGTCTTTATAAAATTATATTGCTATGTTCCCTGAAAATCTCAAACAATTGTGTTCTTGCAAAAGAATAGGGCTCATCAAAGTATGTGTGTGAGCAAACCCTCAACATATAAAATTAGATGGACTTTATAAAAAGATTTAAGTAAATAAAGGTAATGTATAAATGTGTATTAAGTCTTGAGAGTATCCCTTTATCACTTGAAAAAAAGGAAAATCTCCCCTAGCCTTTTTGTTTTACTGCTACATCCTTCTTTCAAGATCAAAAGCTTTAGATCAAAGCCAAGATMAAACTCAATGCTTTAAATAGAAGCAACTTCACTATGAAGCATTAAACAAAGAAGAACTTTTTAACAGAGATCTCACAATAGAAAATCTTACTGTAGTTTTTTTTATTACAACAGGTCTACTTGAACCTAGTGTCAACAACATATTTTTATTTTGTAAAGCCACAACAGATTCTGCTACTAAATGGTAATTCTAAACATGCTTACAAATTGACTCTTGAACTGAGTGTATTTAAATGAAGAAAGAGGAACAGAACATAGTTCAAAGGGAATGAACAAAAAAATAGGTTAATGGCAAACACAAATTAATGCATCTACTTAAACAGTATTTCCTTGGATCACTTAACAGATTAGACTRTGCATTCCCACAGAAGTAGTTATGAGAAACACTGGACCATAGAAACAATGAAACATATTTATCTTCTAAATCCTTTAAAGAATTGCACTGCCTTTCCTGTCAAATGTTTAGAAAAAAACTATGGGGAGAAAAGGGTACCAGAGAYACTAATTTTCAGACCTGCAGATCCCAAGGCTGGTTTGGGATGAAAATCCATGAACACACAAACATACTGTGTACTTAGTCTCAGAGAAGACTCCTGTTTGCTTGTTAGGAGCTGCACAGCAGTGAAAGAAATTCAACAGGAATTGTTACTGAGTTTTTATGGTAATATACCTTGTGGAGTCAACATCTGAGGTTCCCTGGTGCTGACTGTTATGCACATCCTAATTTGAACATTCACCTGTTCTTAAGGTGATAGCATTGCAGTGTGCAGTAAGAGCCAACGTGCCCATTCAGACAGCCTGCAGSAGACAAAAAGCAGTGACAGAAATAGGGTGGCCTAACAAGCGATGGTAACAGCACACTGACTGCCAATCAGATGTTTCCTCTATTTATTGATGTGCCAATAAGATTTAGCTCATAACCAGACCAAGAACTTTTGCTGTGAGTGAGAGAGAGAGCAGAAAAGAAAGGGGGGAAAGGGGAACCATGAAAGAGGAGAGAATGAGGGAAAGAAAGAGAGGGGAAGAAAGAGGTTTTTAAGAGCATTTTGTCTCCTACTGTATTCCTCCACACTTGAAAAGCTTACTTACACCAGATAAAAGGGTGATGGCACACCCAGTTTGAAATGGGAATTTCTGCATTACCCTCCATCAACAGTCCTGTTTGCTGTCCACATGACCCTGGCTGTTATACCTGAATCCATTCCACAACAGAAATTTTGAGATTAGTCCAACCTCCACRTCCTTCTTTACTTGGGAAAACTGTCTTTCAGAGATTGCTAATGGATCTATTCTATAGAATAGCTAAGATTAGGAACAAGCAGTTCCRGATGTCAAAACATGTTAGGATCCCTCATTCTTGCAACAGCAGTATTAAATACAACTGAGTTTTGAAAAACGAGGGGAGGAGGTAGCACTTTCTACCAATTGGGTGAAGAGAGACCAAATATCCTAGTAAATAACTAAGGCAATGATTTACCCCAGCTCTTACTCAAGTCAGACCAGATCCCAAGCATACAACAAGTACACAGAATTGTACGTAGCCTACAACTATGTAGGGCATTTGTGCAACAAACAACTGTTTCATTTTACATTGAAACAGAAACTGTTTTTAAATCGTCCTGGCTGTGATGGCTACTAATGACATAACTCAATGAAAACATGAACTTTTCCTTTGCATAGATKGTCTGTAACTTCAGCTCCTCTGCTGTACTACACTTCTGCAAAAACAACCAGTATTGATAAACTAAGAATGTCGTTTTACCTAAGATGAACACTGAATSAATACCATTTTGTTGGCTTTCCAACAGTTCATCGATACTGGAAGGCCAAAAAAAAATAAAAAGGAAAATGCAGGAATAAAAATCTTAACTGTAAATGAATTTCAGAATTCCTGCAAAGCAGAGGAACTTGACAACTAATGCAGTCAAGTCATTTTCCAGCCTCTCATTTCGAGAATCTCAGCTGCTGAATTTTACAACACACGTACACATTGACATTTATATATTCAGATCTACATGGACACCAGCAAGCACACRCAGAAATAATTTTCTCCTACAAGATGTAGCTAAATTCACCAGTATACAAATTGCAATTTTGTACCTTTCTATATATTCCCATTTAACAGAAAACAAAATATGTACTCCYCCTGCCAGTTTCATTGTACCATATTAAAATGACACAGCTTACTTTCTTAGGCTGATGCCATCACTACTGTGATATCACAAAAGGATAATTTAAAGGAAGCACGGTCAAGTGCAGGATATACTGTTATCCTGCCATACAGATTTATAGAGGGGGGAAAAGCACAGTAGTTTAAGTTAGAAAATTAGCTTGTGAACTAAGAACACAGTGTGCCCTCAGAAAGTCTGTGTGACCTGAAAATTATTTCATCAATAAAGACATCCTTTAGTAAATAGATTCAGAAAATGAAAATACGGAGAAGGATTTTATCCAGTAGCTCACTAGATGATTAAGTATAGCTTGAAAYATTTGACTGGGAAACAATTGCACGGATTTTAAAACACTAGTGCTAGCAGGACTTGGCAGAGAGACTAAGGCAGTGGGCTACATCTGAAAATGACAAGACGGCTGGTGCATTCACATTGCATGAAACAGTATATCAGCACCAGATAAAAATTACTGAAAAAGAAATCCAGCCCAGAATGTCCTTCTGTCAGAATAGCAAGTTTTCCAACTGATTTCCAACAGTTTTCAGGCATTTCTGTTTTATCCACTGAAATGAAAAATCAAGTTTTTCTGACATAATCCATTTATTAGGAAAGATGCTCATTTATATTGATACCATAAATCTAAATGTTCTAATTCCTCTGAGAGTTGCTGTGCTGGTACAAACATGGTTTGGTTTTTTTGTTTTTTTTTTCAGATTAGCATGCTGTGTCTGGTATTTTTCAATGTAACATCCCTCCAGAGAAATTCCATTCCAGTCTAACTTGCTCTTCCTGAAACTATCTCTACCTCCAAGAGAAAAAAGCCTGTTGAAACAATAACTTTGAGGAAGTACTTTCAGTACATTGCATTGTGACTTTCATATACTGTGATAAGAGTATTTTTCTCAAAGTGGTCGTGCAAATATGTCCTTCATATCCACATTRGCAACTCTGCTTTGTGAGGAAAATTCCTAAGTGAAGATCAATCACTGCAACCACCTACTTAGTTGCAAGATGAGATTCATAAATCTGACAAAGTGTCTCTGACCACATGACCATGGATCTCTAACTAATAAGCTTATTACTTATTACTAAATAATCTCATATAATTTATAAGATAAACAATATATGTATCACATTAAGTTATATTATCTATAATATGATAATCTGTTCATGGCATGCTTTTTTAAAAAAAATTCCTCTCCTGATTTCACCAGGTGCTCTCACAACCATGCAGGTGCCTTGGGCAAGTAAGAAAGGAAATGTCCCATGCTTCACTCGTAWGGGAGCAGAGTCTCTGCTACTGGCACCAAGCACCTCCCAGCTTGAGAGACAGGGTCCACAGCAGGAGGTAACCTGTGGTTTGACCTGAATCATCACAGAGAGGATATGAGGAAATGGGA